CTCACTGTTTGATGCCTATATAAGGTTGATGTATCTGTTATTGAAGTGTCATTCTGAGCCTGATGAAGGGGACCCCCTGCGGCCCCGAAAGCGCTTGTGTATTGGATGGCAATGTGCCATTAAAATGGATCATTGACTAACAAAAACTGGTGTGCTGGTGACATTATTCCTTTATTCTGTGATTCACACGGTGCCTTCCGTGGTCACTACAAGCACCCACCCAACTTGGGGTTACTCTGGTTAGGAGTGCAGCAAGACATCCTGTTTTTGAAGTTTATTTTGCTCTCATAGTCAGGTACGCGATCCGTGACCGCGTGCCTGACTGAATTTCCACTCGCCCTCTCTTTATTTCCACTCGCCAAATGCGAGCGGGCGAGTGTAAATTTTGAGCCCTGTACACACACACACATACAGATCTATATATATAGATCTATATACAGTAATACCTTGGTTTACAAGTAACTTGGTTTGAGAGTGTTTTGCAAGACAAGCAAACATTTCTGAAAAATGTTGCCTTGATATACAAGCAATGTCTTGCAATAAGAGCAAAATTCTGTAGAAAAGCACCACCCGAATAAGGCTGTAGCAGTGCGAGCGATGAGTCTGTTTAACGACAATGCAATGTCACATTGGATAGATTCCTTGTTAAGGTTTCACGAAATGAAAAAGATTCCATTGAGCCAAGAGATAGCAGTGATTCCGTTAGTGATAGGGAAAGTCGTCCTACACAATAATTCTCCTCTCTCCTGTCCCCCTCACACCAGCCACGAAGGTACCGGTAATCTGTTTATTTTTCTTTATATTTTGTACAGTATTATATTACAGTACAGTATTGTAATCATTTTTATATGAATATTTTTGTGTTGTGGAACGAATCATCTGAATTTCCATTATTTCCTATGGGGTAATTCACTTTGATATACAAGCGCTTTGGATTACAAGCATGCTTCCGGAACGAATTATGCTCGTGAACCAAGGTATTATTGTATATATAGATATATATATATATATATATATACACACATACATACACAAAAGCGTATTTAGCGGTGTGCTTAGAGTGCTTTCAGGATAAGTGCATTTTTAGTGCATACCCACTACTAGTGTTATCAATACCTTTACCATAGCTCCAAGGAGATCTTTACTGTTTGTCATGCCAGGTGCCATACAGCCTTTAAAACCTTTCCAGTCCTGCATTCTCCTTCACCCACCCATGATGTCCAGTCTCCTTAGACGTCAATAAAAGTCCCTTGCACACTCCATGCATACCACCATCAGATGGCAGTCAGTTCCAAGTGAAAGATCTTAAGTTACTCTCATACATACTCGTCATGCCCATTGACATTTTATGATTGAGACGAAAAATAGACGCAACACCTCTTACCTGAAAATTCCCAACTCTTTCTGTCCACAATGTACGTGGAAGAACAAGAATCTGTACTGCTAACTCTTATACGGTTTCTGCTGGCAGTTACATAGTTACATAGTATTTGAGGTTAAAGGAGAACTATGAGGTGAGTGCTTTTCACTCACCTCATAGTTCTAGCCGACCTGTGACAATGAGACTGTCACAGGTCAGCTCAGTAGATCGGGAAGTGAGCGAACACATACCGGCATTCGCTCACCTCTCGATCCAGTCACAGCCCTCTGCCGTGACAGGGGAGGATTCCCCCCTCCCTGCTCCGATCCGCCACCGCTTACTGGCGGATCAGGCGGGGGAAGGGGCGGGTACAGCTGGCTCTGCCTCTAGATAGGCAGAGCCAGCTGTCAGTCATGCAGCTGGGCGGATCCGGCATGAGTGTCGGCATCCGCTTCAGTTGCGGTGTCTCAGTATACCGCGAGCAGTAGCTTGCAGTATACTGTGGCGTCTCAGTATACCGCGAGCTGCAGCTTGCGGTATACTGAGCTTAGGGTGACGGGAGGGCGCTAGTTTGTGTCCTCCCGTTACCCTAGGGAGAACTATGGGGAAAAGCCTTAACCCCATAGTTCTCCTTTAAATAAAGACATATGTCAATCAAGTCCAACCTATTGTGTATGGTCCTATTGGTGTGTAGTATGTATAGGTCCCTTGTGTGTTCTCAATTTTAAGAGAACTTGTACCCCTGTATATTATGGTCCCTGTGGAAATCGTCCAATCGCCTCTTGAATGATTCCACACTCTCAGCCGAAATCACATCATGTGGCATCGAGTTCCATACCTTGACCGATCTAACTGAGAAGAACCTCCTTCGCCCCTTGTGCAGAAATTTTTTCTCCACCAATTTTAAGTGGTGGCCTCTCGTCCTCGAGTTAATTGTAAAAAGTTTGCTGCTAATGTTACTATCCCCGGTAAACATTTTATACATGAAAATCATGTCCCCCCCCCCCTAATCTCCTTACTTCCAAGGAGGACATGTTTAATTTTAGAAGCCTGTTCTCATAACTCAGGTCCTCCATCCCCTTTATGATTTTGGTTGCCCTCCTCTGGACTCTCTCCAGTTCCAGGACATCCCCCTGTTCACTGGTGCCCAAAACTGGACCACATACTCCAGATGAGGCCGAACCAGTGATCTATAAAGTGGCACAATTATGGACTTGTCCCTGCAAAACATTCCCCTCTTAATACAGGAAAGGACTCTACTTGCTTTGTTTACCGCAGCCTGACACTGCGAGCTATTTTTCAGGCTGTGGTCTACAATGACCCCCAAATCTGTTTCCCTTTTGGATTTTCCGAGGGGAGCTCCCCTTAGCGTGTAATCCGATTTCTTGTTTTTAACCCCCAAAGTGCACAACTCTACATTTATCTACATTAAACCTCATCTGCCATCTGGTTGCCCACTCCCCTATTTTATCCAGATCCCCCTGTAATGTTATAGCGTCAGATTCAGTGACTATTCCCCTCCCGATTTTGGTATAATAAGCAAACACTGAAACATGGCTGTTTACTCCCTCCCCAATATCGTTAATGAATAGATTAAACCGCATGGGTCCCAGCACAGACCCCTGGGAACGCCACTCATGACCCTAGCCCAATCCGAGAAGGTGCCATTTAGCGATACTGTTTGTACCCGTTCCTGTAGCCAGGACATTAATTTGTCTAAACCCATAGACCTCAGCTTGTATAGTGAACGTTTATGTGGTACTGTGTCAAATGCCTAAGCAAAGTCCAAGTATACCACATCCACCGGCCTCCCTCCATCCAGACCCCTACTCACCTCTTCGTAAAAAGTTAGCAGGTTAGGTCTGACAAGAACGGTCTTTCCGAAATCCATGCTGGTTGTCATTTACAACCAGCATTACAGTTGAAGCAAGTGCCACATTATATCCAACTGGGTTATAGCTTAAAATGTTAAAATATATCTAAAGCAGAGCTGGACACATCCCAGGAGGCAGATAGCCAATGCTCCATAAAAATTACAGCTGGCATCTGACTTTTGTGGTTCTCTCTAGTTGTCAACAGATCTGGCTCCTAAATTCCATATTAATTTGTCCATTCCTGATCAATAGTCAAATCTATTTTTTGGGATAGGGTAGGGAATGGTTAAAACCCATCAGGTCTGTGTCCCTGTGAGGAGATTTTCCTTCCCTTCCTGTCTAGAATACAACAGGAAGTGAGAGGAAATCTCTCCAAAGGCAGGTAAATCCTCTCATACAGTTGTCACTGAAACAAGGGTTACCATTAAAAAGTATTTTGACAACTTTTGGATGTGCCATCACTTTCAGTCCCAGTGATAACCAGTCACCAGGACAAACAGAGAGATGAAGCTCCTTAGAGGTAACCGACACAGCAATACAAACCTGACAGGGGTTCTAACCTTTACTTTATCCAACATGACTTTAGACAGACCTTAACTATGTTGTTTAGCGGCGTATTTTATATGAGAGGATGAGTAAAGTCCCTGCGTTACCCCTAAAATCTAATCAGATTCCACTCAGCAGCTGGAAGTTACTTGGTTACGATGGGCAACTTGACCCCTTTCCTTTCCTGGCAGTCTGCATACAATCATAGAATGATAACAGGATGTTACTGCCGCAACAATATTCCATCTGTGATTTTATTTTATTTTTTTGGCGCTGTGATCAAGACTACCTTTTGCAATCAGATTCCTGTGGAATAGAAATGTCCCCAATTAATTCAGAATACAAACCACAAGAGAGGAACAGACAGACCTGGCCTGGTCTTTGCGGCTGAACCAAGACACGAAGCTGGCAGCAAGGGCACAGTAGCATGTTGTGTGATAAAGGGCATCCCTCCTGGTGCAGAGGTTACTCTGCCACACTATATAATTAAAGAATAAATTGTTCTAATCACAAGTTACATTCTGTTCCCCTAACCAGATGGTCTATGTGTGAGGCTGCTTCCGTGTGACATTTCGGTCGCAAAGCAGTCCCTGTGACTCATCCTGTCTGCGCACAGCGTGAACGCTGCAACTGGTCCATGGAAAAAATAGATCACTAAAACTCTTACATACATGTGCAGCACCTTCTCCCAATAAGGGGCAACATTAAATACAAGGGCATCTATATATACTTTGTTACATATCTATAGCACTGTACAGCAAGTGCAAAGCTGAACTCCAGGCAAGCGGCTATACACATGGCTACAAAACATAGATGTGAACCTTTCCATAGAAATGTGACATTATGTACAGCCAGTTTTGTGTTACAGAAAGCACAGCCAGCTCCCTGTTCTCCATAGCAATGCAAGTACCAAGAAGACACCCCAGCCTACTAAATGGGCAGCCAGGAGTCTGCTTACAGCGCCCTCTGCCAACGATTTAAGGCACACGCCGGTTGCAGGGAAAGGGTTAAAGTAAAACAAGAGCCAAATTCAGTAGGGGAACTCCACAAGGGGCAGATTACACTTTCTGAAGAAATCCTTTCTCTGCATCATTTCACACATAGGTGATCAATATGACATTTATAAAACCTAAATAAGTGGACCTGGCATCAGGTAGATTGTTCATTATTGAGCTAAACAATTAGTAAATGTTACATTTACATGTATTTATTACCTTCCACATCACATTACTGCCCCTATCACTGCCTTATTCTGTTTTATTTCCAGAAGGACAGTGCCATCTTTGCTCAGGCATCATCTACGGTCAGCATCTTCTTCCTGGACTGAGAATCACACTGGAATGGACTGAGATGATGCAATCTTAAATCCTGGTGCCTGAGCAGTTCTTGGCTGCGTTTACAAAAATCCAAAACAGATTCGCCCCTTGCTACAAAGTTACAATGTTGCATTCAGAACACTTGGGGGAGAGGAGATTGTGGAAATGGTTCCTACTGCTTGCAGCAGACTGATGACATAATTTCCTCTTAAGGCTGTGACACACTGCACGCCAAGCAGCGCGGAGCGGTTGCACTCTGCCTTTGCGAGCAGTGTGTCATGTAATGTTCTCCTCGGCACCCAGCTGGCGAGGGCTCGCGTAGCTGAGCGTCCCGAGATGAAAAATGTAATCTTCAGCCAATGGGCTCACGCGTTTAAACCCGTGCGTGAGCATGCGACGTCTAGCTGGTTGTTACGCACGAGCCGATTGGCTGAAGGTGCAGTCAATCATCTGACTGCACTCAGCTCACACACTGCACGCAAAGCTCCGTGGCGGACAGCTTTGCTTCTCTCTGCACGGCTTTGCATGCAGTGTGTCACAGGCTTAAGACAGTCAGTAACTGGAGCTCAAGGACTGTTTTTTTTAACCCCCGTTCACACTAGCCACGTGTGTGATTGAGCGACTTGTTTTGCCGCCTTTATCGCACATCAGCATAGGGCAGCCCATTCATTTAAAAAGGCTGCATTTCAGGTGCCATTACCAATAGTGATATTGCAGGCACAACATGTGATTTTTATTGTTGCCGAGTGTGAATGGGATCTTAATGGTAAAAGTGGAATGTATACTGTTGCTGTATATTGTGGCCAGTAGGGAATTTTTTATTGCAGATTTGCAAAGTAACTAAACTGTGCAATTTATGGCAGGTACAGAAAATAACTTTTAAACAGGAGTACTATTAGCATCAGTAATTGATTCTGCAGCTAGTAACTTTTGACGATATAAAAAAAAATAGTTTCCACAGAATAAAGCTATATTCAAGTCAGAAGAGGGATAGGGCTGAGAGCTGTAACAAAGGAGTAATAGGGTCCATGTGTGGCCTACAAAGCGCAGTTAGTCATCCCTGCATTAAACACCATTAACACTTTAGCCTCGCTTCCATACTTTGAATAACTAATATATTATGGATACGATACAGCGGGAATTAGGAACGTTCTTCATAAGGAAATACATACCTAGCATACTCTGCAAGGGGCAGTTTGGAGACATCAAACACTTCCTTATTCTTCATAAGGTAAACTGCGCGCAGGTAAGACACAAAGCACTGTGGGTAAAAAAAATGTCAGTTAATACAAACGTCTGACATATTCTGTAGCACAGAGTTACCTATACAGAGAATACATGAGAAATATACCATCTGAAAGTCAGGCCACATTCAAACAGATGTGTGCTCACAAACACAAGCACACACAAACACATGTTCTCTCTTTCATACTCCAAGGCCATGTTCACACTAGCTTCAGATTTTACAACAGCATGTACAGTCAGAGTGTATCACCCGATTGTATACAGTATGCTCTGTCAAAGCATTTGAGTAAACTCTCGGCAAGCTTTGAGCAGCTTAGTTGAAGCACCCTTCAGTTCCAGTGTGGGGAGGTAAACACAAATCTTGATGGTAGCGCTGTCACTTTAAACAAGCAGCCTTTAGTGGGTTTTTTAGCATTGCTTGAACTTGTTGAAAGCCTGCTGGCTGGATTTTATAAAGTGACAGACAGCACTACCATTAGCATTTGTTAGGCACCTACAAACTGGAATTGAACTTAACTTTAACTAAATATGCTTGAAGCAAGCTTTGCTCTTATACTAGCAGATGTCTGTGTGCACATATTCTAAAGATGACCATGCACTATACCAGGGGTAAGCAACCTCTGCCCTCCAGCTGTGGTAAAGCTACAAAATCCCATCATGCCTCTGAGAGTCTTGCGTGCGACTGTCAGTCTTGCAATGCCTAATGGGATTTATAGTTTCACCCCAGCTGAAGTGCCGAGGTAGCCCCCCCCTGTAATATACAATCTGATATTACAATGCCCCAGTAATGCAAGGGCCTGTCTGATTTGAAACACACTGAATGAATGGTTTAAGCAAGTCCTTATATTACTTTATTTTAATAAATCCAAAAAGATTGTACAATCAGATTGTATAGTGCATGGCCAGCATAAAGGGTTTAGTATGTCAAATAAGCGAGTACAGCATGTAATGTTTAATTCATAAATTACTGCATTCATTTTTATTTTTTTTTCATGCTTGGAGTTGAGCTTTAAAACTGATTTTTTTTTGTAACTAAATACATCATGGAAGCAAACAGAGTTCTAAATTATTTAGATTTCCACTTTTGCCCCCCCCCCCTCATTCCCACCCATGAATGGCCTCATTGGATTTGGGCTTCCAATACCAGTTTTATGTCAAGGAGCTAAATATAAACCCATTGATCGTTCTTCTAAAAAACTGATGTTCAAGTGAAGAGACTTATCTCCATGTCACACACATACCCTCTGCGCCCTCTCCTTCATTTCCTGCTCCTGGGCCAAAAAAGCTTCTAGGCGTCCTTGTACATCCAACAGCTTTTCAGGGTTAATTCTGAAAAATGAAGCAAAGAGAACGTATGGTAATGAATAAGAGTTATAGAAAAACTGGCATAATGCTGTAATTCAGCTGTTCAACCTAATTTACTTTTAATTTGTTTTTCAATTAGTGTATAATGTGTAATCTGCTTTTAGCATATTACAGGGTTTTAATTTTAATAATTGGGGGGAAAAAGTCTTTAGCTTTAATAATAATGATGAATAATAACAGCAAAGTAGTCTGCATTATTCAATCATTAAAATTTGCATTTTAATCTGTTACTAAGCAAGATGAGGAAGCAGAGGAAGCCATTAAAGGAACAATATCCCTCAAGCATGCCTTGGAAGACAATGGAGCAGATGTAAAAGGTCTGGAGCAAAGGGGCAGCTGTTGCTCATAGCAACTACATCCAATAGACTGCAAATGACATCTGTACTTTAAAAGGGTAACTGCAATTTAGTGGGAGGAAAACAAAGTAAAGTAGCTCTTTATGCGCACACGCACGCACGCATACACCTTTTCCATCGGATCTCTATATGGCAAAACATTATCATCCACCGTCACTTTCTGAAACAAGCTGGCCGCCAAACCAAATGAACATCCTAAGGCTGCCATACACTTAGGGGTCTATTTATAAACAATTCACAGGGTGCTTCACTCTGCGAATATCTTTGAACATTTGTTTTGGGCAAATAATGGTAAAAACACGTTTTTAATATACATTTTTTTCCCACAGTTCAAAAGTAATGCGTTGTAATAATACATTTTAGCCACTATATGGCGATGAGGAGCAAAAGAAACAGGTATTGAGATGGAGCTGAGGAGCATAGGAAATAAGTATTGAGATGGAGATGAGGAGCATAGGAAACAGGTATTGAGATGGAGCTGAGGAACATAGGAAACAGGTATTGAGATGGAGCTGAGCAACATAGAAAACAGGTATTGAGGTGGAGCTGAGGAGCATAGGAAACAGGTATTGAGATGGAGCTGAGCAACATAGAAAACAGGTATTGAGGTGGAGCTGAGGAGCATAGGAAACAGGTATTGAGATGGAGCTGAGCAACATAGAAAACAGGTATTGAGGTGGAGCTGAGGAGCATAGGAAACACCTAACTTAACTCTGTTGCTAAAATAAAGCAAAACGGTGACCTCTTACATCATCAATAAGTGACCACGCAGGCTCCTGTGGAGGAACGAGTACTCTCCTGTGTGCAACAAGTCCCAGCATTCAATACACCTGACACTCATTCCTGCCCCTCTGCTTCCTCCACCCACCTGTTAGTCGATCAATGGACAAGCTGAGGCGATTTAGCAGAATTCATACATTTACCATTCTACCTCAGCAGAACTGACACTCGGGTGACACTGGCAATACTCTTCATACAAGCAAGATTTTGTAAATCTTTGACTGCAAACCAAACAGCACCCCCTCTATTTATCCCACCAACCTGTTAGCCAGTTGGTTGGCCGAGTTTCCTCAGGCAAGTTGAATGCTGGGACTTCCTGTAAACTCCATCCTTCACAGGAGCATGGATAGTCACTTGGTGACGATGTCAGCAAAAAACTCATTGTTTTGGGGAATGTTTTCCCATTCTCACACATGTGTTGCAAGTGTTATAAACTAGATTTAGGCTGAAATAACACAGTGATCTGACAAATTAAAAAGTAACATGGACCACTTATCTAAAAATGACTTCTTAGAGCTGCACTCCAGGTATAATTTATTATGCATACTTACCTTGGCCAGCTTGGCTTGGAAAGTATGCATATGCTATATCTAAGCATCTACCTAGTCTTTAAATGTACAGCTTTCATTTAAAATACCTGGTGATTCTGACAGACAGGTCCTTATTGAGTCAGTTCCTGTTATAGGGTGACAACGCTCTGTCACTGTCTGCCAGTTGTGCCCCTATGTTGTCAACCTGTCACACGGGTTTCTGATAGAGATATTGTCCACCGTTGTCACCGTCTTCCTGAGCCTACGCTGAAAAATGCTATGCAGCTATCACTGGAGTAAAAAACAAAAAGGCTGCAAGAGATCAGCAGCACTGAGAAGCAACAAGGGATGAAGAAGAATAGTGAAAACAGTAGTTTTAAAAATGGCAATTGTTTATGATCTACGGAGAATTAAACTAAATGTCATCCAGTTAGGATTTACATCTACTTTGTAGGCAATTTCCAGCCTTATCATTCATTTATCCTGCCAAGTCCGCTCGTCTAGAAAACAAACATTGGTCACTGATCCCAGCAGAGATGAATACATACTTGATTTCGTTAATGGGCACTTTTTTCTCCTCCAGCTGTCGGGCCATCCCCTTCACTTCAGACGGCAACAGAACCAGCAAAGCTTCCCCGCCCTCCTTGTACCTGCCGAAACAAAAACACAGCAAGGACACTTAGTGATCGGAGGAGAAGAAATGAATGAAAAGGCCGCAGTCTGCCAGGGAGATGAATAATAGCCAAACAGAGTGGAGCTGGCAGCTGCAGGAGAGCATGAGCTACTCTTTAAATACAAAGTCAAATGGAAGAACACTGAATTAGGCCCGCTGTTTCATATTCCTTTAATACCAATTACCGATGTCTGCTTCTGAAATGTCATGTTCACCCCGGTCCAGGGGTTTCCAAAGTGCAATATAACTACATAAAGAACGCGGTTTATTGGAACGGCGCGACGTTATTGTCTTACGATGAGGAGCAGGGGCTCAAGCCATGTCTTACATTTTAGATAAAGTGAGAATTAAAATTCTATTTCAAGTTTTTATTCTCATTTGTGACCCCATTGGAGAGATGTTCCATCACTTCCTGTGACTTCCTCACAAGTAATGGTATTTGTGGCTCCTATTGGGACAAGAAGGGGCAGCCAGCAATAAAAACAATGCCGGAAGATCCAAACATTCCTCTCTCCACTAAAAAAAAAGGGTTTTTATTTGTGTCCCCCATTGGGGAGATTTCTCAGTATTACTTGCCCTGGAAAAATGTGAAGGGAAATCATCCCAATAGGGACAAGGATCGCAATAAAAATCAGAGGCTCTGAGATTTAATGCCCAACTGACATCTATATTTATTATGTAAGGCAGTCAGTGTTCTAGCTTCCTGTGCAGGGCTGTTGATGGGAGCAGTATGAAGTAGGAGGAGGGGCAACAGACCACTAAAGACCCAGGCCGCTACTCATGTGTGAGAGTAGTAGTTAGACTCTCCACAGTGCTGCCGCCACAAAGTAATTCAACCCTTGCTGCAGCACTTTTATAATGTGGACTGCAAGAGAGGGGGATCTTTTCCAATTCATGGGAACTATAACAACTTCCACCCTACACTCACAAACTTCCTGGATATTACAATACATATTAAAAGGAACAAGTTTGCAAACATCCACAGAAAATCCACAGACCGTCCCACATACCTTAGATGTAACAGCTTTCATCCCAAGCCCACAAACTAATCTGTCATCTATAGTCAGGTCATAAAAAGGTACACAAATCAGATCTGTTCAGACACCACAGCCAGAAATGCCCAACTAGAATACCTCAGGAGGATTTCATATAAAAGAGGGATACCAACCCATAGAGCAGAAAAGCTATTAACATCCCCAGAACCAGTCTTTGACAGTATACACAGATGGAATAGGAAAATCAGATGCCATTGGTGGTCACCTACAACCCATGCCTAGAAGTTCTAAGATCACAAAAGAGCTCCAACCATTCCTATGCATAGACAAAAGACTTCGGGAAATATTCCTGAACCCACTAACATATCGAAAACCACCCAAAAAAAGTTTCATAAACAGCCCAATACCAAACGGAACATCTCCCTGCATGCTGAAGAGATGTGAAACCGGGATGGCAGGAAGAGTATAGAATACATGGTACTTTGTTGCTGCAGATCCTCCAATGTGGTATACCTGATATTCTATGCAAAATGCCCTACAAGAATCTGTTTGGAAGACGGCTCAAACCACTCACCATCGTGCCATAACCACATTTGGTGGCCCACTCACTGTATGCAGCACAACCTCCTTCTCTTAGGACTACACCTGTTGCATACAATAGTAGACCCGGGTGTTGAAGAAGAGTTGAGAATAATTATTTTATCAGGGCTGTGCAAAGATACTCTGCAGAGACACTGATGGGCAGAGCCGAGAATCCCTTGCTTGCAGCTGTTCAGATTTTTCCGGGTTACCAACTACCAAAGTGTTTTACAAGGAAAGTGACCTTCTATAATCAAGTATTGCCAGCATGAGAAACCAAAACCCTGACGAGCAGTGTCACCCCCACCCACCGTTGAAGCGCCCAAAGTGACTACCTGTTCTGCATACCCCTCAGCCCTGCCCTCAGGGCCGAATTTCCCACAAGGCCAACTGAGGCCCGGCCTCGGGGCAGCAGAGAGTAGAGGGGCAGCAGGGGTGTGGAATTCCTATGTCCCGCTACCGAGGACATGCAGTTCCAGGCGCTGGGCGGGTAGTTGTTTTCTACATTTAGTCCTGATTTGGACAAGCAGGGCTAAATGTAGAGCGGGGAAGCCACCACTCATTCTGTACAAGTGATAGGTAAAAATAAATAAAATTAAAACCAACCCGGTCGCCCAGTCATCTGGGGGGAAATTTGGTAGGGAAGGGGGCACATTAAGGAACCCGGCCTTGGGGCAACAGAGAGAGTAAATGTGGCCCTGCCTGCCCTGCTCCCTAGTTCATGGCTTCACAGCCGAGTTTTTACCCGACTGCATTTTTTAAAGGAAGAAAAAAAAAAAAGAAGACAAAGAAAAATGCAATAAAATAAAAAAAATTATTCGAAATATCCAGACAGCCCATCCTCATCCGGAGGAAATACAGCAGAGACGCAATCTGCAACCATTAAGCACAAAACTACCGAAGAGGCATAAATGAGACAAAGAGGAACTCCAGTCAAATATTACTTCATTTTAAACTTTTTTTTTTTTTTTTGCTTAGCATGCTTGCTTTTAAATAGCCATCAAAAATGTATTTATTTTTTTTCTATTCAGCAAAGGTATTTAACAGATCAGCTGAATATGCCACACCCACATCATTTTATACATTTTTGAGGTATTTGGATGGTAAATTTAATTATGACATGTTAAATCCATCTCGATTGGCAGTCATAGAAAAGACAGAGAGCTGGAAATTCATTTCACAGTGGGGCTGATGATTAATTCTAAGCAACAAGCAAAATCAGTTAATGAACTGTTAATGCATTCCAGTAAACCCTGCAGCTGTGCTCAAAGCAGAACTCTAGGATTTAGAAAAAATGTCAGATGTATAAAAAATGGAGCAGCTTTTGCTGCAATGCCTTCAATATGCAGCAGTAATTCCTTTCCGTCAGTAGATGTCGCCAGTCTTCTGGGTTAAAAAATGGCCAGCATCCTTCAGACCACTTTCCCTGAGCCTAGGTAATAATGCATCTGCCCTTCGGGGAGCATTATCACACCAGCCTTAGCTGTGATACTACACAGGGCAACTCTCACACGACACGTGCAACTTTCAGTTCAAGGTATGGGCCAAAGCACTACACCCGGAAAACCTGTAATGTCAGCGAAGCAGCCGGAAGACCCTTACACATAGAGATCTATTTATAAAACAGTATTGAGGATATGTTGTCCGCACACCATTCTGCTGCAGAATCTTTATTGATATTCCTTCAGCATGACATCAAAATGCAACGTTTCGGAACCTCACAGGGCTCCTTCATCAGGCGAGGTGTCTGAGGAAGGGATCCTGCGCGGTTCCGAAACGTTACATTTCAGAAACATTAGATTTCAGGGGATGGGGAGATTTCTAAGCAGCCCTGAGCATTCATAGGTGGCAGGAGACAGGACAGAGACAATAAGGAAATTAAGTCATGATCATGAAAAATTATAAAATAAGATAAAACACCTACTTATTATTATTATTATTATTATTACATAGTATTTATATAGCGCCAACAGTTTGTGCAGCGCTTTATTTAATACAGTGTCAGGGTTCACAATGAAAACAAGAAGAGCCTGCAGAAAATGTGTTGTCTATGTCCCCACGAGAGAGATTCCCAATCACTTCCGGTCACACTCTTTCCAATAGGGACACATTAAGGGTGTGAAGGAGGTTCAGTAGGGCAGTATTTTCAATATGAAACTGAGATCAAGAATATGAGGCATGACCCCAAACTAGCCTTAAATAGTATTATTTTATACCTCAACTCTGGTGTTCTATCGAAAGCTCCAACTTGTCGACCTCTTCAACCGGTGACATTACATCCGGTGACTGCCAGTAGGAGATGTTTAGCAGATGGTGCTAGTGCACATGGGCAAAAAATCCATGTCGAACTGTAACTATTGCCACAGCGTCTGCGCGGCTCATCGGATTCTATAACCTAGAACAAACTTATATTTGTCCTAGGTTATAGCAGCCGATAACTGTGCAGGCGCTGTGGCAACTGTAGTTGTAGAAAGAATCCTGTGGCCGCGCAGATGCTGTAACATAATATAACCTTTGACTAGGCTATATAATCCGATGAGGCAAAAGCCACTGCGCGGCTATCGGCTCATCGGCTTCTATAACCTAGGACAAATATAACTAAGTGGGTAGACACACAAGCGTTGTGGCAATAGTTAGACCGTTCGACAAGGATTTAATGGGCATGCGCACTAGCACCATCCGCTGAAGATCTCCTACTGGCAGTCACCGGATGTGACGTCACCAGTTAGAGAAGTCGACAAGTTGGCACTTTCGATAGAACCCCCGGCTTTCCCTTTAGTCTTGCACAGTTGTATGGGCTCCCCTCCCATAATTAAACTGCTGGCTCTGATTTCACTGCGCACTGTGAGCTTCTTTACACTTTAGGAGTGCACACCTTATCTGGATGAAACTTTGGTAAATCAGAGGAACTTCAAGCATGCTAAAACATAATATATCCCTCGCACAGGTACATATTAAAAGCTCTTTCCAATACTAAATAACTAGTACAAAAAAGTCACACTTAAAACAATTCATCCCCACACAGCTACCTCCTCATGTATCACTTGCCCCTCCCTTTTAGATTGCAAGCCCTCAGGGTCAGGGCCCTCCTTACCATCTTGTCTTGAACTATATTGTAATGTCTTCATTATATTGTAAAGCGCTGCGCAAACTGTTGGCGTGTATAAATCCTGTATGATAATACTACTAATTTCACAACATTTCTTACCATGTCATGATAAAACCAGAGGAGGAAATTGATAGACGCAGATAAGCCCCGAGTCACTTTCTCAGCCTTGCTTTCTTCCAGAAAACCATCTCTCTGCCCAAAATAACAATGCCGCATCTACCTGCCCTTCTCACTCTTATTTTGTATCTTCACCCAACTTGGCTTCAGGCAGCGTTGCGAGAACACAAACTGTTC